TGGTTTTCTAATGTGTTAAAGTCTTTTCCTTATTGATTTGTAGATTAGTCAAATTGAAAACTATTTTCTACCAGAAAATGATATGAAATATAAAGTAAAGGTAAATAAAACCTCATTTAGCAGTTCTCATTGCTGACTTCAGGATGTCAATTTAAAACAGCTCATCAGGGGGCGCCTGGGTGGCGCAGTCGGTTAAGCGTCCTACTTCAGCCAGGTCACGATCTCGCGGTCCGTGAGTTCGAGCCCCGCGTCGGGCTCTGGGCTGATGGCTCAGAGCCTGGAGCCTGTTTCCGATTCTGTGTCTCCCTCTCTCTCTGCCCCTCCCCCGTTCATGCTCTGTCTCTCTCTGTCCCAAAAATAAACGTTGAAAAAATAAATAAATAAATAAATAAATAAAACAGCTCATCAGTTTTGAAATTCAATCTTTTTTCAGAGAACATTTTTGTTCTCTTTTTGCATACCCATACTATTGTTCTTTGTTTTGGAATCAAAATCACTTTGTTGATTTCTTAATTATATTCATCATAAGGCTCTTGAAAGGATAGATGTATCTTATTCATCTATGTGTTACCTAGTTTCCAGCACATAGGTATCCATTATATAGTTCCTGAGTGAATAAGTTAGTTTACTTATCCTTGGAAAAAGTTTTAATAGTGGTGTGCAAGTGCTCATTTATATACAATCAATTAATATTAGAAGCTGGATCATTATAATTTTTTCCGACACTGGAATAAACAGTCTTTCATTATTCTTCAGATTCAGTATAACAAAATGCAAGAATGGTTTCTTAATGTGCATTTGATAATTATTACTATGCAATACTCAGTTTGTACATAGTGAGTTTTTTGATTGATACATATTGCTAGAAACCCGCATCACTAGAAGTTCTGACTAATCTAAAATACTTAAGAGACAACTTGGTGAGCTCAGTCCCTGAATCATGAGTAGATATATCATAAAATAATACCTCAATTTTGGCAGCCATTGATAGCCTGCTGAGATATCAGATCTCCAGTGTACATGAAGGCTTGAGTGCTCCCTATATTCATCTTGGAGAAGAATGGACAAAGCTTACTGGAAATGTAGGGAAGATGTTAACAAGAAAATTGAGGTAGATCTTCTTTTGTGCAATTCGGTGACTGATAGTTTCTTACTAGTTCCTCTCACAAACACTCCATGTACTTAGGAAATTCTCTAAAGTACACATACATTCCTGTCTGTAATCAAAAAAGTGTTTCATAGGCTTGCAAAAAGCAGCTCCAAGAAGAAAATATTTGTAAAATGGAATTATCTTAAAGCTGTTTTTGTTTTTCAAAAATTATATAAATACTGAGTAGAAGAAATATTTGCATGAGAAATTAGAGATCTGCATACCAAAGATGACTTCTGATTTCTGCAAATGTAAATTAATGTTTTAAAAATGTTTTTTAATGGACTGTGAATGCAGCTCATTAGGACTATGCATTCAAAGGAGACACTACACCTGTTTAGGGCTGATTTGTGACTCAGTATGTGATCTCTTCTGGAGAATATTCCATGTGCACTCAAGAAGAATGTGTATTCTGCTGCTTTAGGATGAATGATCTGAATGTATCTGTTAAGTCCATCTTGTTTCATTCAAAGATATTGTTTCTTTTTTTTTACTTTCTGCTTAAATAATCTGGCCATTGTTGTAGTGTGGTATTAAAGTCTCCTATTATTATGGTATTATTATCTATGGATTTCTTTATATTTGTCATTAATTGATTTATATATTTGGAATCACCAAGATGGGGACATAAATATTTATAATTGTTAAATCTTCTTGGTGGATAGACTCCTTAATTGTGATATAATGCCCTTTTTCATCTCTTATTACAATCTTTGTTTTAAAATTTAGTTTTTTATATAACTATGGCTACTCTGGCTTTCTTTTGACCTCCATTAGCATGACAGATTTTCTTAATCCCCTCATTTTCAATCTTCAAGTGTCCTTAGACCTAAAATGTGTCTCTTGTAGGCAACATATACATGGATCTTGTTTTTTAATCTATTCTGATATCCTATGTCTTGTGTTTGGAGTATTTAGTCCATTTACATTCAGAGTGATTATTGAATGATATGAATTTACTTCCATTGTGTTATCTGTAGATTTGTTGTTTCTAGTGATGTTCTCTGATCCTTTGTAGTCTTTGCTGGAAGAACAAGTATTATTAAAATATCTATACTACCCAAGGCAATCTACACATTGAATGCAATCCCTTTTAAAATAATACCAACATTCTTCACAGAACTAGAACAAACAATCCTAAAATTTGTATGTAACCACAAAAGACCCAGAATAGCCAAAGTAATGTGGAAAAAGGAAACCAAAGCTGAAGGCATCACAATTCCAGACTTCAAGCTGCATTACAAAGCTATAATCATCAAGACAGTATGGTACTGGCACAAAAACAGACATATAGATCAATGGACACAATAGAGAGCCCAGAAATGGACCCACAATTGTATGGCTAACTAATCTTTGACAAAGCAGGAAAGAGTATCCAATGGAAAAAAAGACAGTATCTTCAGCAAATTGTGCCAGGAAAACTGGACAGTGACATGCAGAGGAATGAAACTGGACCACTTTCTTACACCATATGCAAAAATAAATTAAAAATAGAAGGAAGAACTAAATGTGAGACAGAAAACTATCAAAATCCTAGAGGAGAAAGGAGGCAACACTCTCTTTGAACTCGACCTCAGCAGATTCCTACTAAACGTGTCTCTGGAGGAAAGGTAAACAAAAGCAAAAATGAACTATTGGGACCTCATCAAGATAAAAAAAGCTTCTGTACAGCAAAGGAAACAATCAACAAAACTAAAAGGCAACCGATGGAATGGGAGAACATATTTGCAAATGATTTATTGGATAAAGGGTTTGTAGCCAAAATCTATAAAGAATTTATCAAACTCAACATCCCCAAAACCAATCATCCAGTGAATAAATGGGCAGAAGACATGAATAGGCACTTTTCTAAAGCAAGCATCCAGATGGCTAACAGACACATGAAAAAAATTCTCAACATCACTCATCATCAGGGAAATACAAATCAAACCACAATGAGATGCCACCTCACACCTGTCAGAATGGCTGAAATTAACAACTCAGGAAATGACAGATGTTGATGCGGATGTGGAGAAAGGGGAACATTTTTGCATTGCTATTGGGAATGCAAATTGGTACTCTAGAAAACTGTATGGAGGCTCTTCAAAAAATTAAAAATAGAACTACCCTACGACCCAGCAATTGCACTACTGGGTATTTATTCAAAGGACACTATATATATATATATAGTGTATATATATATATATATATATATAT